AAAAAAAAAAATACTGCTTGTCACTAAGGATGCTAAAAAACGAGCGATGGAGGAATCTTAATTTTTTCACAATCTTTAACATCATAAAACAACATTGGTGATGTATTTATATATATTCGTACGTATACGAAAGGATATAGGGATCGCGAAAGAGAAGATTTACGTTATTACATGCTGCTTTTGTAATGCCATTAATGTCATTGCATGCTACCAATGATATAATAACAAAGATAAACGTTTGCCTTCCCGCATAAATAGCCATTTAAATCTCTCTTATATCTTCTCGTATCCTTATAGATATTTTCCACACTTATAATATTGTTTACTTGTAAAACATTTAATGTATCCTTGTGAGATCTTCTACTATTTTTACAAGATCGTCTACTGTCGCTTCCTTCTTCATACCGCTGCCATCATCGATCTATGGAAAAAAATATAATGGATATTAAGATGAAAATTATAATCTACAATTTGTTTATAAATATACACTTCAGAGGAAACATAAAACGCGATTGACTTACCATAAGGCCCATTGCAACTTCCGTCATTTTGTCGTGGCTTAAATCGAGGAAAGATTCTATTAAATCACCGTCTATAAATCCTTCGCATTGCTCAATTTTTAAATCCGTCTTGAAACTCCTCCAGAAGTTATGTTCTATTTTGCCTACACTTTTTATTACGCTGGTTAATTTATCCTCCAAGTTGCGCAGGAATTCGTAAAACGCAAACGGAATTTGCGTCACAAGACCGATTGCACCGCTAACAGTTCCGAACAATACACAACCCTGCGTAGGCGTGCTTGATTCTCCCAAATTCTGCATCACTAATGAACCATGCCGGAAAACGTTGACCATGTCACCTAAATGAAACTGGCCTACCTCCTGCATTTGTTGTCTCTCATCTTCGGATGTCGCGGCACTAGAAACAACATTATATTTATTGCCTCACTAAAAGCTTCACAAACCTACTTATTATTGATAAGTACAATAAGCACATACCTATCCTTTTGACATATAAAAAGATTGAAACAATTTTCAGCCCCTAAGAAAGTATCGTCATCTAATATTTCAATAGAAGTCATCCAATTGGGGTTGTAGTCCCTAGCTATCTCCTCGAAACTGCCTTCCATAGTCTTGTACTGAAGTAATGTGAGGGATCTCATAAGATCACCCACTAAGACAAAATCACTCTTGGTTTTTAAATAAAGCGCTATAATGTTATTAAAATGGCTGCATTCCAATCTGAGTTCCTTTTCCGCGGTCCATTCGAATAATCGTACTGTACTGTTGATACTCGCCAAAAGTTTCCCGTTAAATTCTACCAAAGAATAGCAGGAACCCTTGATTTCCTTCTCTGCGACCTGCGTGAGCTTTCCGTCGCTCCAATGATACAATAATATTCTGCCCATTTTCGGCTCAGTCTCGTCGGCATTTATAAACGCTGTTCCGACCACAAAATAAGAGGTCGGATCCTCGCCCAATCTCGTCGAGATCAGTGATAACGCGTACTCGCTCGGCATTAGTGTATGCGCATGCAGGACCTCAAAAGTATGCTGGTCGATGATGAGAAGATTATGTACCTCGATCTCTTGGCCAATCTCGCTGGCTGTGTGTCCACTGGGTTTGTTGTGTGACGCGATGTGACTGCTACTGGACATGGAAGCTGCTTGAGTAGATGCAGAATGCCTGACGATACTTACTCCGCTGCTCTCTTGCACGTCGACACGCATCGTGATAACGCCAAAAGTTTGAGAGCTTTCCTGATAAGCGATCCTCCTCGGAGACTCTCCGAGCGGAACCGTTCTTATGTGCAGCTTCTGAATTTCGTCAATTGTACCGATCGTGACGGTGCTATCTGTCGCTAAAGCCAGGCTGTCGGGATACGATTCCGCGTTCAAGGAACACATATGATTTACTTCCTTGAGATTGACATTGCTAAAGACGAGCTTGTGATTCGAGGAATAAATTACGGTGGGCCTGTCCGAGCACGCAAATACATTCGTCGTGGAGAGCGATCGAAAAGTTCTGAGAACCGTAGGCTGTGTTCCTAAGGTGACTCTTTTCTTGTCCGAGAGCATACCGCTTTGTTTGTACAAGGTGAAATAATACATACTGCCGTCACCTAGAGCGCAAAGTAAGTACGTGTTGCCCTCGAAACAAGTCATTAAAATAGATCTGGGTATAATCTCGCCCCCGAGAAGCTCCTTATTGATTTCTTCTAAGCCAGGCAAAGTCAAGATACGAACAGATATGTCTGTCCAAAGTCCAACAGCGACAATTTTGGCCTCATTTACGCCATCCAGAGGGGAAATATCCAAGCATGCTACTTCGTGCTGCAAGGTGGCGAATCCTTTAGGTACAATCTGATTGCACGAAATTTCCATATAGAACAGATCATTTCCTGTGGCGCAAAGGACTTGGGTGCCATTGCAGGCTACCACACTGATGGTTCTTTTATTTTGCGGTTCCCATTCGGAAACGACCATTTTGCTCTCGTGCGAGATCAATCTAGCGGATGTTGGAGTTATTTGGATAAATAAATCATTAGTAACGTTGCCCGTATGAAATGTTTGTTCATCTGCGACAAAACCCGGTATATCTGTCTCTTCAACTTCTTCGCCGTTTAAAGTCAAGATTCTAGTTTGTCCAACAAACGATAATACCAATGTATTATCAAAGTTACCACCGCCAACTTTTAGAGCCCACATGCCTTTAATCCCTGGTAAGTCAATACTTGCGTGTTCTTGTATGCCAATGCCGTTTCTAATAATTCTAAGAGAACCTTCTTTAAAAGCGCCCGAACACGTCACCATTTGTCCTTGACCCTGTCTTTCCAGATCTACTACAGCCATATCGACAATAGGTGCCAGATTAGTGAAAGTTTCCATAGGTACACAATAGGATCCATTTTCATCTGCTTTTGTAATTAATTTGATCAATTGGGAATCACCTAGACGGCTACCGACATATATTACACCATTATCCAGATAAGTTATACATTCTGGTATACTGATTTCGCCTAATAACTCGACTTTCAAGTCTTTCACCACTTGTGTTCCATCGGGCTTCTTTTCTAGCTCTAAAAACAACATAAATAAATGACCAGCCATATCTCCCAGTAAATATCTTAATCCTTGATTATCCACTTTGGCGTAGCAAGTAATAGTGCTCTGCTTTATAATTGGTGGTACTACGGCAACATATGTAGTACCATCATGATATAAAATACTCTCCTGTCCTATTATGATTGCGCCACAGATAGGGGAAGGTACAGGAATGACCATCATAGCTTCCCGCTCTACATTATCCTGCCTCCAAGGTATCTTTGAAAATTCTTTTTCCCTCAAATTGATTTCATGTGTTTTCACATGCCTACCATTAATATCTTGATGAATTAAAATTAAAGTAGGATTAGTGCATCCATGAAGAAAATTAACATCTTGCACTTGCTGTTCGTCCATACGAATAGAAGATGCTTTCAATTCTGGATTATCTTTGTCCAAGGGTATAATCTTAAAGAGACCATCGTATAATCTAAGACCGATTACTCGAGCTTTTGGATCAATAACAGCTTTGATCCCAGTTTCAGAAGCTTTTCCGATACGATCTGCCACATTTCCATGAGCCTTTGTTATAATCTCTATATCTTCTCCTTCGCCCATACATTCCAGAATCATAGCATTGTAACTTGTTGTTAATAAAAACAGAAGATCCTTCTTCTCGTGCTGTCAAAAAATACAAATTTTATAATGCGCTTTTATAATGCACAATTTCATCTTAGAGTCGAGTAAATTTTTGAGATAATCTTCAAGACAATGTTATAGCTATGCACAATTGTTTATATAATATAATAAATTTTCATATATAAATTTTACATATTCTCTTTCTCTCTCTTAGAGAGATAATATTTTTTTATCCATATTCTCTTTCTCTTTATATTAGAAAATGTAATGTTAAAAAAATGATTTAATTCACATATAAATTAGTGAAAATTGAAATAATTATGATATCTCTTGTAAGTCTCTTATTAATAAAAAAAATAATAGAAGACTTGAAATAAACAGAAATCATATATAAGGATGAATCTTTAAACACACACACATACAAACAGATAACATTACACATAAAGATAACCTTACCGGCGGTCTGAAGAATTTTATGACTGCTATTTTACCATAGATACCGACTTCTTTTAGGGGTCTCAAACCTTCTGGTGTTACAAGGTATATCTCCAAACGTACATTCTTAGCCAATATCAGATTTAAATCCGTAGGCGAAGTAAAATTACCTTGTGAAGTAGAATGCAGGGAAACAATTATAAAAAAGCGATATTATCTTTCGCCTTGTAATTTCAAGGAATTTGACGACTTACCAGTCACGCAGGCAGTGACAGCCGTTGGTTTGTGCGCCGTCACTATATAATGATGGGACATTGCTTTCATAATATATGTCTGGCAGCCGATAAACACTCTTACGCATATGATCACAAATTTCAACCATTCAACTGAGCGCTCTCTTTGCTTGTGTACTTCTGTACTTTTCAATTTATCGCGCCATGAAGTTGGTCACATTTCAAGGGTGTTAAGCTAGTTTACAAGAGGATACCTGTGAGGATGCAGCATTAAATCTGATTCACAAATTCAAAGGTGCCTTCCTCTTGACGCTTCAAAACGAAAATAGCATCAAATGTGATGCTGATACACCCAACGGCTGCGGAAGACGCTACAGATGCTTCGAAGCATTGCATTAACCAATCAGAATAAAGAAATCTTTAATCTTTTTATTCCGATTGGTCAATCAAACTTCGAAGTATCTTTAACGTCTTCCCGACCGCAGCCAACAGCATATATTTTACAAATCACAATTATATAATAAAATAATTTTATTATTAAAATTGCTACATATTATATTTAAACGATTGTTTGGCTTGGGTTCACGAGATATTCCACATATTATATTTCCTTTCCACATAGACAAACTTTCTGAATTAAATTATATAATTTATTATTATTATTATATATATATATATATATATTTATTTATTTATATTTATCATTAATATATAGAATGGACTGAGCGTGGCGATAGACAAACACGCGCTCGTTGTAGAAAGGGAGATACTATATAGGAGGCCTATTTTGTTTTTTTTCCTAGCATCTCATTGGTGATTTTGTCTTTTTCCATATAGAAAATCACCAATGAGATGCTAGAAAAAGGGACAAACATAAGCCTCCCATATAGTACCTCTCTTTCTACAGCGGGCGCGCTTTTGTTATAACTTGCAGAAAAAATTCTCATTTCATGATTATAACACTATATAATGCTGTAATCATATTCAGTTCAAAATCCAACTGTTTAATCTAACTTTTGAGGATAAAATATATTAAAACAGAATACGTATTACATATATATATATATATATTAGAGCAGAACTTAAGATTTATTAAAAATCTCAGAAATGTAAAACATATTTTTGCATATCTTACATTTTCAGACCATAAACTAACATTTTTTGTCTTACTTCCTAAAACTATACAATTGTACAAAGATTTTTAATACATTTCTTCTATAATATAATTTTCTCATCACATATTTTTAGTATATTACATATAATACATATATTTTTAATGGATCTAAAAGAGAGAATTGTGCCTTTATGTACTCATGCGCATATATGTACATAAGTCTGTGTTAGTTGATGGTCTGTAGACCGTCCATTTATAAACTTAGCATTTGTAATTGGCAGTATGCAAAAAGACAAAAATCAGGCTGAGGAAATGTAATTAAAGTGCATTGTGTACGATACTAAACGGGAGAAAGAAGCAATGCGTGATACATATGGTAAATATTTTTCAAAGCAAATAATAAAATAAAGACCAACCAGATGCGAAAGAGTAGTTTTTCTATAGATTCCTATTAATCCTACATTTATCATATTATTATACATATATGTATCCATATAACTGTGTATATATATATATAAACATACACACACAGTCTTAAAGAAAAAAAAAAGAGTGTAAACCAGCAAACTGCAACAAGATATTAAATAACAGCCTAACAAGATATAGCAGATATCAGAGAAAGATTGAAAATACTGTTACAACAAAGTTTACTGAAAAATTCGCCATTTTTAAATATATGTAAGGTACACATATTGAATAAATGCATACTATGTATGCTTCACTATTCATAATTTTATAATATTGAATGCAATGTTAATATACATTTATAATTAATTGGACCGTATATAAATACAGATCCGCCTTGCTGTTTGTTACGCATGACTTAACGCGTTTTTCAATTTGATTCAAAAGGAAGTAGAATCTATGTAGGAAAACTACCAGTTTCGTTCATAACCATATGCCTGTTAGAAAAATTGGTAGGTGTTATAGACGTTCTAGGGCTTCCGCTTCGGCTAGTATCGCAGCTATCATTTTTTTTATCTGTTCTTATATTATTATCTAATCTAGATTTGTAAGTATGCTTGGGAGATGTTCCTGGACTTGAGAAAGAGCAACTACATCTACTTTGGTTGCTATTGCTAGAACTGTCGCTATCGCTTTCACTGTCGACACTAGACTCGGAACTGCTCGCGCATAATCTTTTTTCAGTACGTAACATTTCATTTTCCCGTCTTAACTGTTCGTTCTGCTGTATCAGATCATCAATCCGTTGTTGACATAACTTCAATTTTTTTGCTATCTCAGAATCTGTAGTAGATACGTTTTTATTTTCCGAATCTCTTTCTTCTATTTGATGAATGCTCTTATTACGTAATCGTTTTGTTAATGAATCCATTTTGGCTTCTAAATGCCTGTATTCCTGTATTAATTCTGTTTTTGTCAAAGTGCTCAATCTTTCCTCATGAAGGTCTTCATATGCAGTTGAAAATTCTTTCGTTAAAAACTCCTCTTCATCTTCCGGAGATGAATAAAAATAATCCTCGTCGGAATCTACGCTAAAACTGGAATCACGAGTGCGCGGTGGTGCTGGTGGTTTTTGAAACATGGCAGGTACTTCCAATGATGTGGCTTCTGATAATTTTTGTTCGAGATCAGGTAGATCGCTATGATCATTCATAAGGAATTGCGTGGTATTATATAGAGCTGGTGGTTGCCTATTAGTTTTTGCAATTCTACCAATGCACCTGCTCCGTAACTGTTGCTGATAAGATAATTGTTTCAGATACGGTTTTAATTTCCTATGTTTGGGTTTACCCCTGCGTGTTTTCCTCTTTTTTGCTGCGGTATCTTCATGTTGACCGCCGTCTTGATCACCGCTACCGCTACCGCTTTCCAATCTTCCATAGTTCTTTATAAGTGATGTTTTATACTGTAAAATATATATATATATATATATTATTTACAAATAACATTTAACATTTAAAGGTATCATAAAATAAATTCGGCCAGTGAATAGTTAAACCATATAAGTAATTGCAGCTATATATTTATAATTTGCTCAAAATAAAAGGGAACATATACAAACAACATAATAAATAAAAAACAACATAATAAATATACAAACAACATAATAAATAAAAAACATTTCAAATATAGACTATATTAATCAAAAATTATTACGTCAATCAAATATATATTTGATATAAACAATTGATCGATATATATCTGTGAATTAAAATTCGAAATGTTTTATGTGTCAGCGACTCATTTATCATCAAATGTTAAATTGTAAAATGATGCCTCATCCTTACCTTATTACCGTTAGAACGATCAACGTTCGCTTCTCGTTCCGCGCTCTCGCCGACAGATCGCGGCACCCGTTCGAAAAGCGGGCGTGATGACGCCGCAGGCGTTGGCTCCGCTTTTGCGGAGTACATGACGCCCTTCGCGTCATGTACTCCGCTATCGGCACCGACGCCGCCCGACGTTTTCTCCGTCGTCGTTTCCGCCTCGCACGTCTCCATGCACACGATATCCACTAAAATCCGTTAATTCACGATGGCACAAATGCGCTCCGCCGTTAGAAAGTCTCCCTCGTGCACTGGTATATGCCGCCACGGCGCTAGAAACCGTTTGCTCTCACCGTAAACAGCGACTGGCTCGCCATGTTTGATCTGTCCGTGATTCTCCGTACGATAGCGAGGCGGAACATGCTGACGTATGGTCCCTACTTCGGTCCCACCTCTCCTCGTATTCGCACAGCGCAAGGCAGCGCAGTTGCGTTCTGTTCTTTTCAATTCGCGGCGCCTCATCTCGCGCACGTTCCTTCGATCCCGCTGGATCGCGCGTTTTGCATTCCCTCGATAATTTATCATTAATATTATATGCATATAATTATATTAACATATGTCTCTCTGTGTGTGCCTAATATATATATATATATTTATTCTTTATGATGATTATATTAGCTGTAATTTGTGTCGAAATAGAGTAGCAGTTGTAGTATATAAGAGCTAAATTATAGTGGTTTCTATGGCAAAACAATTTTGCTATATATATATTTCTTTTTTATTCTATTATATTTTCTCTGTTAGAATTTAATAAGACCATAAAACTATATAAATTATAAATCTAACTTTATGTGTGACATATTATGAATCTTAAGATTCGTTAAACTAAAATATATATATTTTAACAAATTAAATTATGTATTTGATTTGTTAAAATATAAAAAATAACCGCTAAAACATCGACTTTATTATTATTATTATTATTATGCATACGGTACCGTCATACTGATCGAAAGATGTACGTACATAAATGTGCGCGTTGCCTCATCGTCCTTGCATCCACGAATACATAGAACGATATAAAATTTTTATTTTCCAATGATATATCTCTCTAATCGTGAAAATTGATTTTCTTGCTTTTTTTTTTTTAAAGTAAATAATAGATCTGTTCTTAATTTGCGGTTTCTTATATTTTCTGAATTTAAATTAATAAAGGTATATATTTATATCCTTTAATTTATAAAAATTATGTGTTGCCAAGTAATAGCCTACACTCTCGAGATCCATCTTCATTTTACTCGCATGCTCAAATCGTCATTATATTCGATGACTCTGTGGGATCGCATAAATTGATAACTACATAAAGGTAAAAAACACCCGTTGCAAGCAAGACCGCTCTATTAAATCAAAATGCGCGTTACATGTGCAGCATTGATGACTTCGTGTTGCGGTAAAATACGACTTTCGCAATGCCACTGTATAATAACATCCTTTACTGCAAAATGCAATTTCACGTCGGGTCATTGTACTCGTTATCTTCCGTGAATCGATGATTCGCTCTCTGTAAAAAAATGAAATCATTTCTTGTGCAAGAACAACAAAGGGGAATTGCGATAACGCTCGCTGACACAAGATGTATCTTTCAATTGAGCGAAATACACAACGTCAATTTATTTATCGGCATCGTTACCGCCGATAATATTCCTCGGTAATTGAAGGTAAATATTATCGTTAATACGGCGCGAAATATCGCGTGGAAAAAGAGAGAAGATTATCAGTCGCGTGAAAGAAAAAGCGAAGCTCACGCGAGTTATCCTGAAGAGGAAGATGCACGAAGAAATGCACACATAACGAAAACGAAACAATGGACTTAATGTCCTGACCCTCGCGACGATTGGCAGGAGCCTCCCGTGACATTAGAGAGTGCATTCGTTTATTTTAACGTACACATGTAAAAGCATTACGTATACCCGTTACACGATTCTCGAGCTCTCGCACACGCATTCACGCGTGCACACACAAACATATATATATACAGGGTGTTTCAGAGATAGGTGGCCAAACTTTAAGGGTATATTCTACTCACTATGAAGATGAAAAAAGTCATATAAACACGGAAACGCTTCCTTTCCAAGTTATGAACATTTTTTATTTGTAACAGACTTTAAGAACATTTGAAACTGTAAGAACATTTCATTACAGAAATTGCTGGAAATGATTTCCTTCCGCATTAAAATGCATATCTCTCATGGATTGTCGAAGATGTTCAAAAATTCCCCAAGTATTTCGTATTTTGTCACACGAAGCGATAATACGATTTCGGAATATTTTTACAGTAGCAACAGGAGTATCATAAATGAGTTTTAATAAGATGTCCCCATAAATAAAAATCCAAAGGGTTCAAATCGGGAGAACGTACAGGTCAAGCGATATCATTTCCAATCAACAATTCATGAAACATGTCAATGCGAGGTGCATGTTGTCCGATGTAAATAAAAAATGTTTATAACTTGGAAAGGAAGCGTTTCCAAACCCATGTTTATATGATTTTTTTTCATCCTTATATATAGTAAATAGAATATGTTCTTAAAGTTTGGCCACCTATTTCTGAAACACCCTGTATGTATATATATAATATATATATGCCGATGCAATCCGCCGCGGGAGCAACACGGGGACTATAAATACGAGGAGTCGACCACGTGGGGGAGTCGCGTATCCCATCCTCGTAGTTTGTTTCTTTTTTTTTTCCTTTTCTGTTTCTCTTCCGTCTCTAAATATGCCGATGCCATTCCTCGCCTTCCTCCGAGGGGTATTTAACTTCACTCTCACTCGCCCGTGCCCTGTGCGAGCGCTATCATCGGGAGAGGAACAAAGAGCGAAAGACGTTTATGCCCGTGGGACAAAGACCGTCGCACATAAATCGCACAGCATGTAAACACCTCGAGCCATACATATAAACAGATTCGATGTGTAAATATATATATATATATATATATACGATATTGTAGCATATATAAATGTGCCGCGAGAGAACTAGAAAGGAGAAACCTCGGCGTAAAGATTGCAAAAGAATACGATGTGACTTATTTTGTAACGACAATTTCGTTGATCCAAACGTTTAATGTGCTATTGGACACGATCTTTTACGGCATTAAGAAGGTTGTCGCACATACATAAGTGTAATACATACATATATATGTATATATAATATAAGCGCATAAGCGTAGCAAGTGATTATCCTTTCTCTAAAAATTCTGTCGATGTAAAATTCGGGCATATATTAATTTCGAGTGTCCTCCGCAAAAGTTGAATCTTACTGGTACATTGTATATATGTATATATGTCGAGATATATACATGCTCTTGCATCAATTTGCGCGTGTGCCATGGTCCACTCTGTGATTTAACGGGCGCGCGCATCCTTCGCCCCGCGCGATCATCATTTACAGCACAGACACACACATACATATCCGTGCTTGTTTATCCGTGTATCTACCATGCGCTATCTTTCCATGTTGAACCTACTTTTCGCTCTGTGTGTGTTGGATATACATATATATGTGTGTGTGTCTATGCTGGCTCGCGGCGCAGATGTAAAATACACTTACAATAGCATCGGGCGAGTGTGACTCGTTTGGGCAGAACACGATACGGCGTAGAGCTCACCATTTTCCTTTTTCTTACCTTAGTTTGATGAAGAGAGAGAGAAAAATCGTACGAATCGGGCGACCTTATTACATTTTTCTCTATAGTATTATAAAAAGAGACGGATATCTGACGAGATTTCACGTGCCGGATTCAACTTTCTTATGTCCCCGCGTGTCAAAATGATTGAGCCTTTTCAGGTAACAAAAGTAGTCATTTTGATGTAATTTGACGTTAAAATTACTACTTTTGCTACCTGGATTACGTTCTCTGAAAATCAACGGCTATGCTTATATCCTTTAGAACAGCAATTGCCTTGTGCTTTCTGATTCATAATCTTAATATATATTGTAATTTTATATAGAATGAGACGAATTTGATACGAAGAAAAGCATTTTGTTATTAAGGATGTTAGTATGATAAATAAACATAGGAGATATCACAATCTCGCGTAATTAGATAGCTACAACGGTATTTGAAAGTCTTTCGCCTTCTTCAGGATTTTGCTGGAGATCAGATTCAACGGCAACTGATATTTATACATCCGTACGAAATGCGTTTCGTGCATTTCGTAACACCCATATACTTCGTTACATATGTACTGTAAGACAGCGAGTCAATTTGTAGTTTGTCAGGAGAATGGCTTTTTCAAAAGGGTAATAGTTTAACAGTTGAACCATGAATTATTGAACTGTATATATAAATATTATAGTGAACGTGAGAAATCGAATAAAGCAATAATTTGAGCACTTATCGAAACACGTTTTTATTGGTCAACTCATAAACTCGAACTCAGAACTAATTACAAACTCAGAATACAAATGTGATTAATCAATTAAGCATATCACACGAGATCAACGAGACACGTCCGATCTGATTCACGGTTTACGGTAAAAGACGCTCAGTGACACGCGAATAACATCCAAAAGTTGAAATCGACCGTCATCGAGCAATGACGACTATACTCAAGCAGAACAGAAAATCACAATAATATGAAAATGACATCATATATAATGACTTTTGATGTCATTTTGATGTCATTTGATATTATTGTGATTTTTTGTTCTGCTTGGATATCTTCTAATTTTGTATGCGTGTATATATTTTCGTATAAATATTGTAAGATACTGGCAGTCTCATAGGCCGGTATTCATAGTCCGTTCTTATATTCAAGATCGTCTTAAGTACGATCTTAAGATACTATGCGGCCATTTCATTGGTTGAATGGGATCTTAAGACGACCCAAGACCACACTTAAGACGATCTTGAATATAAGAACGGACTATGAATACCGGCCATACTGGAATAAGCTATCCCATTCTTTGGTTGTCGCCACTATTTCGCCGGGAGAGAGGTGCGTTTGGATTTTAGCATCTCTTTCTAGTATTACCTGTGTTACGTCTCGACAATGCTCTTTTCTTACTATACCTTAGTTAGTGAGAAAAGGATAGCTCTCTATTTTTATAGGGCAACCTGCTTCCACCGGCTATACCCCAGAGACGCCGAGAGCTAGGACTGATCTGGTGGATTCTAGGGGAATGACGTTAGGCACGGAACTTACCTTTACTAGAGTGATTTTACTGGATGTTAATCCTAGGGATATGAGCATGCGCAATTAGATATATTCAATTTTGAGGGTTTTCAGGGTTTTCAAGCAGAGCAATTAGTTGATCTATATCCAAATTGCCGTCTAGAAAATCGGTAATAAGTCTAGCGATTAAAGTTAAGATTTGCTCGCGCATGCGACTTACTATGGCTTGAACTTGCTCATCAGTATATAAAGGTTTCATTATTCGAAAATTAATGGAACATCTTGCATTGCTGATTAATTATGAATCTAAATATCTAGCGTATTCATCTATTTTTAAGTGTTCTTCAGGCAATTGGTTTTTTAACTGAGAAATCAGGTCCCGGGCAGTTGTTTGATTTTCGTCGCGACAACTTTCTTTAGAATGATTTATATTTTGATACAATTCGTTTAGTACTATCAATTCTGGCGTATAAGCAAGAAGACCGGTTGAATTGCTTACGCAAAGAGCGTTAGTAATTGAATTGCTTTCAAGAGTTTCCGTTAATGTTTTTACTTTAGAATCTCAAAATGTGAGATATATGTCATTTATATATATCTTTTCTTCTTCTTTTCATGTATAAAAAAATGCCTACTTTTTATAAAATGTGTATCTAAAAGGGACATATAATTCTCTTTTCTTTCATGCATTTTGTTTATACTTTACGTATATTATGTATACATTTTGCTACATACTTTATTTATTTAAAATGTAACGATTTATATATTATATTTACTAAGATTTTTAAAGATGAGAAAATAGAGACGAAAAAGGTAAAAAGTGTAAGATCGGTAATGCAGTGTAACGATCTTATCATGAGCGATAACGTCTTCAAAAACAGCTGTAGATGGAGCGAATGTAGCACAATGTAGCTCGTTAGGTTAGCACGCATTAGCTTAATATTTTTCCTCCTGGTATATATACAAAATTACATCCGCTGTTTCGAAACTAAATAAAATGGTAAGGATTCTGATGATTCTGTCAAAAAATATTTAAAATCATATTCTATATGTTGGAAACACGTAAACTATAATTTCTATTAATGATAACATCCTTCGAAAAACATAAAAACGAATAAATGCAATGCCGAGGTTATCGAAGGTATACAAGCATTTCATCATTCTTTTTTCACATCAATAAACATGTAACATTATTATCGTAAAATAAAAAGAACTTTACTATGAAAACGATTATATAGTTCCTTTAGATGTCATTGTTCAATGCTGATATAACGCTGATAATTTTAAAATTAACAATTGAAGGTTAAGTCTATTTTCTTCCCTTTATGATATATATTTAATATATATGTAGATGTAAACGTAAAAAGAGAGTAAATTGTTGTTGAAAGAAACTAATTTTTCTTTAGGCGAGTACTGCTGTGGCAGCAGGTATTGGCCTCGCTGCTGTGGGCTTTGCCGGTCGTTATTTGCTCAAGAGAATGCCAAATTTATCGCAGAAGATGGCTGAGACGGTGAAGAAGCTAGATTCCCAGGTAAAAACGTATTTATTTTTTCTTAACAGATTTCATAACTATATTTGCATGCATATGAAAGTATTGACGTTTTTTAACATTTGTAGTCAATAGCGAACAACAAGTATTATAAGGGTGGTTTTGATCCAAAAATGACTAAGCGAGAAGCTAAACTAATCTTGGGGGTGTCGCCCACAGCTAGTAAAGGGAAAATAAAGGATCAATTTAAAAAAGTTATGTCTGTAAATCATCCAGATCGTGGTGGTTCTCCATATATTGCTGCAAAAATTAATGAGGCAAAGGATTTACTTGACAAATAATAAAACGAGATTATGTAGTACACATTTGTAATATATCTGATTTTTATGTTACTTTAGGAACCAAATTTTAATGTATATAGTTATTAATATTATTTTATCTTGTATATTATCTACTCTCTATAATAAATAAGCTATTTTTTTGAAGCTGGATACTAGACCTGCTAATTTTACTACATAATTTCGATATCCTCAATATCAAGATTAATAATTTTACAAAAAGTTTATGCATAAACAAAGGCAGTATATATAAACTCGGTATTAATTACAATAAAATATTACAAAAGAATAATTGCTTCTTTAGATATTTAGTTAACATTCCTATGTCATTTCTCCATAAAATATCATAATTATACAATTTTCATTATATTTTGTATCACAACTAACATATTTTATATATGCTAATTTTTGGTAAAGTATAAGATACATTTTATAATTTTCGTTTTTTTATTATATTGTATATACAATAATAAGCTAAAATAAATTTAAAGTAATTGAGAAGATGTGTCATCTGTAGTTTTTTACATGGCTAAATAAATTTCCTTGAAACGTTGTATTTACAACAATAGAGCATAGAATAATTATGCAATAACAAAATATATATAATACAATTTTACATGCACCCATTTTGCAAAAGATGCAAATGAATAACATAATGACTAGAATATTTCGGTGTATGTGAAAAATTTGATCAATACTACTATCGTTCTAGCTTATCTTGCTTTTGTTCTATACGTTGTTGCGTTACTTTTGTTCTTAGTTTTGCTATTGTGTTACCAGGCAGTGATCCAGGTACTTTAAAAATACTCTGTAAAATGAGAAAAAAATATATCTTAGTAAATATTTATTCATTTAATTACTTATTGTTAGTCAATATTTGAGCTACATGCAATGTACTTTTATACCTGCATAAATTCATGACATCGTAAAACAATACTGTCTTTTGTTATTTCCTTGAAACATTCAGCTAATGTTGTAAAATCTTGACAAGCTAACAGATTAGATCTATTCCTTTTTATAAGCGTCAATGCAACGCGGAAGATAATTTTGGTACCCTCGTAAAAGAGGCAATCCCAAATACGTAAAGTAGTCTGCAAATTCCAAAGCATTTAATATTTCCAATTTTTCTTTAATATATTGAAAATATTATTACATGTATTTTTTAAAAATTATATTCAATATTTTAATAATTATATATAATATACCTCTATAGGTAAGACCTCTGCGAATAAGCACACAAACCATTTTGTTGTAATTACTGCCCAAGGCAATCCTAAGTTTGTTACATGTTGATAAATATCAGGCATTTTCATCCTATATACATAAATAATATATAAAGATACATGTGAATATTATTGATAAGTGATATTTTAGTAAATTTTGTTATATTTTACCTTACTAATTCTGCGAGCACATCGATATCAGTAAGTAAACCATCCATAGTACGTGTGTAATAATCTGGTAAGATCTTGTCAATTAATACTTTTAGTAACCAAAATGCTGTCTCTTCGCTTTTTGTTACAAGCAAAAGTAAACCTGCTATGTAGTTTAAACCCTAAAAAATATAAATATACTATAAAATAAGATGCAATAATAGGAAAAACATCTTGATTGAAGCTTTCAATATAAAACAACTTGTGTATTTATTATTTATTAAAAATATTTGTATTTATATGTTTGAGAGTATATTTTGAATGTTACCTGACAATATCCAACAGTTTTGTTTTGATGAGCAAAAGCCAATAATATATTATATAATTGATGTTGTTGATTTTCTGTATTATTAAAGAATATATTATCTGGAAATGTTCTTGGGAGATCAGTTTTTATAATTTCAACAATTTCTGTATTATGTGGAGATTGCAATAATTTTTTATAAAGTTCTGGCGATGTATTTCTTATTTCTTCTCCGCCACTCACAGCGAGCCATACCTGTATGATCCAATTTATTGTAAATATTTAAATTTAAAGTACAATAAATGGAACTTTATTATATGTATTACCAATCCTCTATGTTCTCCTGGAATGCCTTTACGAACATATCTCTTTATGGTAATGCTTCGCTGTAATGATTTTCCTTCGCCAATAATTTTTGCCCATTTCTTGGCCATTTTTGCAAGAACCTTAAGGTACTCTGACATAAAATCTTCATAAGTTTCATAATCGAAATCGCGTGGTCGTTCGAAACCATATTCGTCCACATCACTAGAAAACATGTATAAAATCCCATACAATATAAATAAAATTTTATAACACAATTAATTTGATATATTGATTAGTTAATTGTAAGTAGATGATAGAGCAAATAGACGTCGCATTTTCATGTTGCTTTAAATATGATATAAACGATTCACATGTGAAATAATATATGATAAGGATACATAAGAAATAAAATAGAGATAAAAATAAATTTTAATAAGTATAATGATAATAAGTATATGAAGAGAAAATAAGTTACAGAGCTTTTCTTATTTAAATTCGCCCACACAAAGGGGCGTATGCACGAGAAGGACATAACCTCGATAAAATGAAAATAATAAAATAAAATAGATACGATATATTTTCACTGCATTCGTGCTGAGTTCGTAGCGGATGTTTATGGAATACGATAGGCACTTCGTGTGTGATACCGTTTAATAAAACTGACAAATAACACTCACCTGAAGCATGAACTTGCCATGCCCTATGTAATTCGGCAGGTGTCAAATGGATCTATGCGATTGCATATAACTCCGTCCATAGATATTCTACGTACGTCTACGAAATTTTGTTTACTCAAGCAAACATCGATCACAGAAATATTTCGGAACACTGTGCGTTGCTTTTATCACACGCGGAGCACAATAGGTCTTATGGCGCGCGCGTTTTGTTTTACACGCGTATTCTGAATATTTCTGACAAGAGTAACAAAATGAGACAGATTAAGCGTGAGTCAAGCGTGACACAGATTTCTGTCAGATTATAGAAATTTATTATCGCGATATATATCGTAGCCGATAAAAACATTTAATATTTCGCAATCATATGTCTCTAAATATAGATACCGTCCCCCTCCTCGTTCTTGTAAAGTACAATCACTTATAACGAGACGACAGAGGATACAATACGACTAAATATATCGAATCGAAGGTACAGATTAATCATGCCAATGGATCGCACGACTCATTCAAAATATATTTCGCGAGTTATCGTGTATAAAGTATTATCGAGAGTCGCGCATATCATCCTATCAAATATTCAAATGATAATTTGAAAAACGCGTCAATCGATTGCATATATCGAAGGAACGCGCAATATTTAATTTCTAATAGTTTATATAATTTACATGAGAAAAAAATCCCTGTAAACACACATCATGTAGGCAATATATAACGACAATATGTAAACAATTTATATAAACGTAATTTTGAAATCTACGGCACAATCTTATAATTGCATATCTTCGCAACTGAAATTGGGCATGCACGATTTGTCATCACGATGCGATCGCATGTGCCGGAAGTGTCCAATTTCAGATCGCACGGCCAATACGTAATGTCGACGGTACTACGATAACCACATGGTAACGGTAGTAAGATGGCTTCGCCGATTCCCTGCGTTGCTGGTAAGCATTTTCTCAGATTTTTACGTTCATCATGTACGTCGCGCGAGAGTGTCAATCGTTGATTGAACGTATAATTGTCCGGAATAATTCGCTTCTCAAAGGATGCGCGTATCCATTTACAACCCCCATTAGATGATGTTCCAGATAGTGCACCGTTTTTCGGGATAAACGTGATAGACATGTGTCTCGTAGCATCGAATAATTCGAACGTATTTATGATGACAGCGATGTTGAAACGAATGCTCGTATTACAATGTTTATAAATTATAAACAAAATTATAAAAGATAGAAAATTTTGAAATATTATGTTCTAACCTGTAACTGCTGACGTGTTACTTCCCGAATGCCAACTGTTGACACGAGTTTTGCGAGAGTAATAAGATTGAAAAAAATAATAATTGTTGACATACGTCGTAAAAAAATAATAATTGTTGATACACATTCTCGCCTTGATACATACATTTATGTCACAAAAATCCATAAATTTAATATTTTCTTGTAAATTCTATTTGACAAATGTGTACAAGAATATACATACAGTCTAGGTATTATTTGTATTTTTATTATATGCAAGAAGAAAAAGATATTAATATATTTTTAATATACATATAGTGAGAGGATCCACTGGTATAAATGTAGCGCATGGTCCACCATCTTACGAATCAGTCAAAACATTTCCCAAAGATGACAGCAGAACCTGTAAGGCTATGCTCTTTAGTCCAGATGGCCAGTACTTTGCATGGATTAATGCTGTTAGTGTTAAAATTGTACTGTGCGAGACCTGGAAGATTGTTGCCGAAATTTCGCGACCTAAAATCTGCTCTATTCAATTCTCTCCCCGTAGCACATATCTTGCAACTTGGGAACCATCTTTTGGTAATTAACTTTAAATTATATATATGTATGAAATATGCATAGGTAAACTTTTAATGCTAATTTTATTATACCTATAATAGTAAAGATATTGTAATATAATTTCAGTAACGCAAACGAATTCTCAGGGAACACAAAATCTTCACATATGGAAATCTGAAAATGGTGAATTAGTTCACAGTTTTATGCAAAAGAAACAAATTAATTGGTAATATATCGCTTGATTTACATTAAAACTCAATTTTTTCTTATTATATATAAACCTAAAGAGTTAAAGTTTAGTAACTATAATAACAATACAAACACCAAATAGCAGTTCACCTGGAAGTCAACTTCATATATATTGCTAACATTGTTATTATTAAATATATGTAGTTATTATTAAATATATGTATGATGTGTAGAAATAATTTCAAGTTTATTTCAATAATAGGGAACCACAATGGTCAAGTGATGAAAAACTTTGTGGATTATTAAATGGTGCAAATGTTCTTTTATATGAAGATAACAATTTTGATAGATATGTACACAAGATAAGTGTAGCCAAAGTTGCCAAATTTAGTATAGCACCTGGTAATGCTCCTTACCATATTCTCTGCTATATGCCTGGTAATTATATCTATTATTATAGTACAATATTTTTTTCTATACAACAATATATATAGTCAGTGCTAATTATAATATGATATTGGAATGTGAAAATAACTATATCTATATATCTTAATGATATATATAGCAGTTAATAAAATTGTATACATAAAATGAGATAGCATTTGCTGTTGATACTTGATGAGAATCTTATTATGAAATACATAAGATGAAATGATTTGGAAGTAATAGCATTGACTTTATGCTACAGTTTACAAAACACTATTTTATTTTAATTTTATTTGTTTTAAAGCATTATTATTAAATATATGTATTTGATAGATATCAAGCATATATGTATTGATAGAAATATAGTAAAAGTGACAAAGTGAAGAACTTAAAATAATTTTCTGACCATATACATTGTTTTATGATATTATAAAAAAACAAAAATAATGGCTCACATATTGGCATTTTCCAAAACACTCAAGTATGAAACAGGATCTACACTATGGAAAATTTTCCTAATTATTATACAGCGTATAATTTGTAAGTACCTTTCTAAACAGAAAAATTATATTGCTGTATGTAACAGAATTGCACAATGTAGTCCTTAAACATTTATCTAGATTCATATAAAATATTCAAAATAATTTAAGTATCTATATTTATATTGAATCATATATGCTTGTATATAATGTACAATTAAATAGCACACCAAATGCAATACAATTGTAACATAAGTGTTACACATCATGAATTATATTTATTTGAAAATTCAACAAACTAAAATTGATATATGTATTGTTATTACAGCACTCTTCACATTTAGTAATATAATAATTAATTAATTTATTATTGATTAATTATATATATGATTTATTATTTATGTGTTTTAAAAACTATATGCAAAAAATATGTGCGTCTTTAAATTGAAAACTTTTATGTTAGTTCATAAAATTTTAAATATATTTAAATTAAAGATTTTTTAATATATATAATTTAGGAAAGCCTGGTCAACCCTCATTTGGAAGATTATTTCAATATCCAAAATTTGAGATTGGAGAAGCACTTGCGAGTAAAAGCTTTTTTCAGGTAAATCATTGAATTTATCCTAAATTCGTTATAGATATCTGCATACATCTTCTTCTTTTACTCAATATTAATTTGTGGTTTTTAGGCAGATAGAGTTGATATTTATTGGCATCAACGTGGGACAAATGCATTATTGATGGCAAGTACTGAGGTTGATAAGAGTGGTGCATCATATTATGGAAAACAGACATTGCATTATCTCAGCACGAAAGGAGATACTGCTATGGTTACGCTCAGTATGTTAACAAAAAATTATTCTTTTTCTTGTATTGATAATTTAGAATATCTAAGACTAATTCTATAGCAATATTATAATGGAAACTCTTCCAATTAGGTAAAGAAGGTCCTATACATGCGGTAGAATGGTCTCCCAAAAATACTGAATTCTGTGTGATATATGGTTTTATGCCAGCTAAAGCAACATTGTTTAATCTTAAATGCGAAGCGATTTTTGAGTTTGGAACGTTACATAGAAATAGCATATATTACAATCCACATGGCAACAATATCCTTTTACTACTTTAACATCTGCTGATAAATCCATATATATCTCATTAGTATAGTTAATTGAACAGTAATTAACTAGTACTTGTAATAGAAAATAACAATATGCATTAATATCCTTGACTACTGTGTACTATTGCTTTTGGCTGGATTTGGCAATCTTAGAGGCGGCATTGAATTATGGGATATCGCTAACAAAAAACTTATTGCTAAAACTGATGCACCGGATACTACACTACTCCAGTGGTCGCCGGATGGTGAACATTTCGTAACAGCAACTACAGCACCTAGATTACGAATGGGCAATGGGTAAAAAGAAACTTATAAAAAGATATGTTCAGTTTTAAATACATTATACATGCCGTAAATTAATGGACATGCATTATTAGATTTAAGATTTGGCATTACACTGGCTCATTAGTATATCAACGACCTTGGAATAATCAAGAGGAACTGTGGGAGGTGATTTGGCAAAATTTCCCTTTGAATACTTTCCCACTGAAACCTATTAATTATAAAGCAGTCGAGGGTATTGTCTCTAATCCTAGTCAATCGCAAGGTAATTGTTATTTATATGAATATTTTAGAAGTAAATATTTATTATAGTAATTATTGATTTGACTCTCTTTCTAAAGCACCGAAAGAAGCATATAGACCACCGTGTGCCAGAGGACAAAATATCACATTTAAATTACATGATGACATAGAGCCACCTTCTAAACCTACCGTAGAATGTAAGTATATACAAACATAGATTAAATATTTTATTATTAACTCTATTAAATTTTATTTATAGCAAATCCATCGAAAGCTGCATTGAAAATGAAGAAAAATCGGGAAGCGAAAAAGGCTAAAAAAGAATTAGAATCTAACAGTACTACTGTTAATGGACAAGTTACAAGCACAATGACAAGTATAAAAATGGAATTAACGGATGATCCTGAAAAGAATAAGAAAATAAAGAAAGTGAAGAGCGTAAGTATATATTTAATGGCAATTTGTTTTTTTCTCTATTACTATCAGAGAATAAGGACTTATGGTAACAATTTCGATTTATGTCACAGAAATTAGATCAAATTTCTAAATTGAAGGAGCAGTTGAAGTTGGGAAAACAATTAGAAATTAATCAACTAGATAAGATCAAGAAAGAAGATGAATTGCTAAAAGAACTTGAAGAGCTTACTTTATGATAAACAATTTAGATGTGATGAACAGAATTAACTTGCTAAACGAAGAAAAAAAATTACTATTAAATGGGTTTTTTTTTCTTTTTTTTTTATAAAGTAAAATGACTGGAGGAAACACATGAGTGTAAATCAAATTATTCATCCTGACAACCTGAAAAAATGGGAAAATTATATCATGTGTGATATTGTAAGATAAAGATAAGCTGGAATCTCTCGAGATAGTTATAAATTCAATTGATAATGCATCCAAGGATTGTGTTAGCGCGCATATAAATAAGAGTAGATAATCATATTTTAATAGACAGAAAGCTAATAGTATTTTAAGTACTATTAGACAAATATGTTTATTGTTATGTATTTTATGATTTTGCTAAAAATTAATAAGATAGAGATAGTTGCAGTGCTTATTATCAATTTTAGTAAAAAATTATAATTGATTGTGTGCAATCCAATAATTATGATCAAAATAAAAGCTGTCTACTGTGTAGTAGACAGTTCACTACTCTAGCTAAAACTATCAGATCTTTTTCAATAGAAATATGAAAAGTAAATGTAAAAATGTGAGAGAATATTGGAATTGTATGATTTGTCTTTTATTTTTTTTTTCTTCTGAGAGATTAGTTTTAAAATATAAAGTAATCTAATATTTCCAGATTTTTTATATTTTATTGTGCTGTAGTAAATTTTGCATTTAAACATGAGCTTAACATTCTGCACAAGACTTACCTAATATTGCTTTTCATAAATTATAAAATTCATATATAGAGAAGCTCAGTTTCTATAATATTTCAAAAAACAAATTTTATATATCAATTTTTAATAGCATTTAATATTTGAATCTTCTTCCTAAATATTATTGTTTTGATTATATTTAATGTTCTATTCAATATTCAATATTATATTCAATATTATTTTTAGATAATTCAAAAAACTAATTCTTTTTTATTTTATATACAATATAAAAAATCAAGATAAAAATTTTTGGCAATTTTTAAAGAAGTATATATAAATAAGTTTAATTATATAGTCAGTATATAATTAGTATAAATAAAAAGTATAGGACATTTTTTCAAAATGACAAAGTTTGTTTAACCGAGTGAAATAAAGTCCATGTAAGATTGTGTATGTAGCGATGTATGTGTGTATGCATCTGGATATGTGTATGTGTAACTGCATTAAAGAATATATGCAATAAATTACGTATCATTGATACATAATAAATCTACTATGACATAGACAGGAACAGTAAAAATGTGCGGATGTTATGTACAGTGAGATGAAATTTATGGAAATAAATTATTAAAGAAATCAGTGGTTATATGAGAATATAAATATCAATAAATGTGTATATGTATACCCTACTTAATATTATATTCTCATTTAAGAAGCAAGATTCGCGCACAGCAAAATCGTCTTTTATACTACAATTTAAGGGGTAACAGTATAAAAAAAATAGTATCTACATACATGCAAAGAATTTAGAATTAATTTGAATACAAAGAAATTGAGAAAGTAATAGTCTTGAATTATGCATTATCCTCGCATAAAATGCGCTATTATGTATTTTATTTGTTTTTTTCTTTTTTTAACCGGGAAGAAATCTTACTAAATATAAACTATATAATAACCGCATAGTTTATATAATAAACTATATAAACTATGCACAGAAATAAACTCAAAAGTATGAAAATGCGGATTTTGGTTTTATATACGTAAAACCAATATTTGTTTAGATTTGTTTTCTACGCTTTAATTTGAAACGAAAAAAGCTAAAGTAAGGCCCTGCGCACAATAGAGAAAATATTAGGAATAGGAATAAAATATTAAATATGAGGAGGAGCAATTTGGAATTATTTTACTTCAAACAAGGGAACGGAATGGATTGTATTTCCCGATCGTTCGTAATTATTCACGATTGCCGCGTAAAGATTCTCGCGCCTACTCGTCAGCATCGGCGACGACGAGCAATGGTGCAACGAACGGTCCAATCGTAATCGTCGCTCGTCACACCGACGTGCACGCACGTCGGCTCGGATGGCACCGCAGCGCCGCGACAGTCGTGTTTACAGATTTGCCAGTTGAGTTCCGTAACGTCACGTCAAAAAAGTGCAACACACGAATTTCTACAACGTTTACTATGTAAAGGTGCGTTCCCCGGTGATGGAAATGCGACGCGCCGATCGTTCCCCGGTGCGGTGCGATCATCGGTGTGGCTTGACGCTATCCGCGACCGGTTATCGGGCCGAAATATCGGCGCATTCGTTAATATACGGCAGTGCCAATCGTTAGGATAGTCGCCATTTTGTCCGGAGAGGTAGCCCGGTCGCGGCGAACGTGCAGCGAAAATAGGCGCTGCCTGGACCCGCGAGGATTATCGCGAGTTGCGTAGGTAGCGACCCGCGTGATCGTTATTGTTGATCGTTTTCCAACTCCGCGGAAGATCGACGTTGTCTCGACGACGATTCATCCCCCCGCGACCATCCGGAGTTCCATCGAGCCTTTCCCCGTTGTGTGCGAGCTCTCGCCCGCTCGCTCTCGTTCGCGGTCTATCGTGTGGGCTTTTCGTTCTCTGCTAGACGGTGGACGCACGTTTTTCATCGAGACTCGATCGCCGCGTGCGATTTCTCGGCGGAGACGTTGCGACGCATTCTTCTCGGACAACCGGCACGGCGGCCGCTCCCCGTCCCCGGCATCGTCATCATCATCATCATCATCATCATCATCATCATCGTCGTCGTCGGCGGTGGCCACAGCTCGCCTACGGTTGACAGCTCGCGCTGCGCGTTCACGATGCGGTGACTCGAGATCGTAATCTTAATCGCGATCGCACGATCCTGAGAATCTACAACTACTCGCTCTGCAGCAAAAGGAGAATTTTGTTTGTCCTGTTCGCCTCTGAATCGCGTGCCGCTACGTGAAAAACGCCCGATTTATAATACGCGTCGATGCACGAAGTCCTAGCGTGATCACGCTGTCATGCGATTCTGCGGACGCATTCGGGTACACTCGAGCGATTATTAAAACGAGAAATTTTTTACTGGCTGCGGTGAATATGACGATTTATTGGCCGACCGCATCCGCGACTTTCCCTCTCTGAAAAATAATAATAATTATATTAGAATATAATTCGCGAATATATCGCCTTGCAAACTGTCATTTTTGTTATAACTTATTCGGGAAATACACGCTTATGTAACTTTTGTTGCTATAAGAAATTTATAAATTCTTTTATTCTTGGATCTTGTAAATTGAATTGTCATTATTGATGGTGCATCTGCGCTAGACAGGACTCTCTTAATTATTTCTCAGCAAACTCTAAAGAACGCAATGTTAAGATTGTACTCTTCCTCCTTTGTTTCAGATAATGTAGCTATAGTTTATTAAAACAAGGCCTTTAGGATACAATTATATTTAATGTCAGTATATAAGCTGGATGCTTGTTATTGGTGGTGTAATCATTGGACCAAGAGATATTGAAACATTTAAGGTGTAACAAAAAACGTGTAAAATGACAATTGCCACTAGGGGCCAGGGAGTTGGCATAGACCCTCCCGACAGCCAGCAAAATACACAGGTATATGTACAGATTATAAAGTCATTTGGTAAAAATAGTTTGGAATACATCTTAATTGCATTGAGTAAATTGTATGAAAAATTTGCCTTGTATAGATGCACAGTCCACCAGGTCCGCAGCAATTGGCTGATACAATGTCGGGACTTCAACTCACTGAGAATGTGGTACAAACAGAATGCAACAATGATGCTATCACTGCAGTGGAGGATAGCAGTCAGCTTCATGGAGAACCTGATTTTCCTATTTCCAAACTTAATATGCTTCATGAAAAGATATCTAGTCCACGATGGGTTGTACCAGTTTTACCCGAACAAGAATTAGAGTGCCTGTTACAAGCCAGTATCGAACTTTGTAAAAAAGGTAACATATATTGTTTGTAAATTTCTTAGAGATAATTGTTTATCTGTTTATAAATTAAAATTTATAAATAATTATATTTTTGCATCAGTGCAATTAAACATTTATATCATGTAGCAGTATTTATTTGATTGCTATATATTAGGATTTTGTTTACTATAGATTGTTTATGTCAATTTGTATTTACTATATTGCAGGAATTGATGTACAAAGCGAAGCGTGTCAACGCTTTTTTCGAGAAGGTCTCACAATCTCATTTACCAAGATATTAACAGATGATGCAGTAAACAGTTGGAAATTAAATATTCACAATTGTATTAATGCTAACTGTGCACGTTTGGTGGAATTATGTGTCCTAAAATTAGACGAAGATTGGTTTCCTCTACTTGATTTACTGGCGATGGTTTTTAATCCTAGTAATAAGTAAGTATATATTTTAAACCTTTTATTGAATACAATATACGAACTTTCAATGTGATTATACTTCTAAAAATTTGTGTTTCTAGATTTCACACATTTAATGCAGTAAGAGTTTCTGAAACTGTTCCTCCTGGTAGTGATATCCCTGATGAGGAACTTTATGCTCGCCCACCATCTGATTCGCGTAGTCCTCGTGGTTGGCTAGTAGATCTTATAAACAGGTATATTTTTTATATACCTGTATATGTGCAAATGAGTGCTTTATATTTACAAATTGATATAAATCTTTGTTGCAGATTTGGGAGTCTCAATGGATTTGAAATTTTGCTCTCTAGATTTCAAAGTGGACGTAATTTAACAGTACCAGTCATTTATGCTTTAATCAGACCTTTTGGCTTGTGTTATGAACTATTGACTGTTCACACAATAGTTAAATATTTGATGCCTATTGTTGTAAGTATTTTTTCTTAATTTATTATTAATTATTTATTTATACGAATTTCAAAAAACATTGTTACATATAGGAAATGGTACCCCTTATTTTGAATAACTTAACCGACGATGAGTTGAAAAAGGAGGCAAAAAACGAATCAAAAAACGACGCAATATCAGCCATAATCAAAGCCGCTAAATGCTTGGTGTCACGAGTACCTCATCAGGAAGAGATGATAAAGAACTTGGAAATACTGAGACTGAAAATGATATTGAGACTCTTACAAATTTCTTCTTTTAATGGGAAGATGAATGCTTTAAATGAAGTTAATAAAGTAATATCTAGTGTTACTTATCACCAGCATCGTAATACAATAGTGGAAGAGGAAGAATGGCTTACAGCAGAACGTATGGCAGTAAGTTCAGCTTTAAAATTGACATAATATTATATACATAATTCTATATCTTACTTTAATATAATGATGTTTAAATCATATGTAAAGAGAAAGAATATCCTATTAAGTACATGAATATTGTGCCGAATATCACGAGTTCGACAATTATATCATAAATTTTGTAAAGATCATGAAGTATTTATTTGTATGGAGTATTTATGAAGTATATATATTATATGTGTATATATTTTTTTGTGATACAGAAATGGATTAAAGACAATGGAGTATTGGAAATTGTATTGAGAGATTCGTTGCATCAGCCACAATATGTAGAAAAACTGGAGAAGATTTTACGCTTTATTATAAAAGAACGTGCACTTACACTTGAAGACTTGGATGCTGTTTGGGCAGCTCAAGCTGGTAAACACGAGGCGATTGTGAAAAACGTTCATGATTTGTTA